GCAGCTCTCTCACACCTGCAGTAATCTGTGACTTCTCCCGCCACTGTGCTTCCACCTGCGCTGAACTCGGGCCAGAGACTTCTTCAGGAAGTCTGGAACAGGCCCTCTGTCACAAGCTCACAGTGCAACCTGTCCTGTGCCAGCTGGTGTCACTGTGGGCCATCTTTACTGGAGTGTCCGTACTACACAGAGAGCACTAGATGTGGCTCAGGGAAGGGGCTCGGTGCACCCGGACAGCAGGTTGTCTGGTTCAAGTTCCTGAGGAAAAGGACTTTTCATACTTTGAATTTGTAAGTAACTTCAGTGTTGCACATACTGCCTTCTCCAGCCTACATTCTCAGCACATGCTTGTGAGTCTTAAGTATTACTTAGGACAGGCCACATAACGTACTAGGAGAATTACTGGGTTAACTAAGGTAAAGATTTTTTTCTTTATAAGTATGTGAACCTGTTTCTACAGTGACGGCAGTCCTGTCGAGAAGAGAAAACCGTGTGCATTTGGAACATCCCGGGGCCTCTTGCCAGTTGATTTCAGACTGCTTCCCAAAGGGTTGGATTAGTGTTATGGCCTCTGGTCAGAAAGACTTGATCGCACCTTCGTTCGCTCCGGCTTGTCGGGATGTCAGGACCTTTGTTTGAGATGTATTTGTTTGTCACTAAAGACTTCCAAGTCCATTTCAATTTTAATTTCCTCTTTTTTTTTTTTAAAGCCACTCAAAGTACTATTTATGTTTTGGGATAAGGAACCTGGAGGATTTTTTGGTTGTTGACGTTTTTTAAAGAACAGACTATACATGGTTACACAGCCTTTCTCAAGGAATGAAATCAATAACAACATCCTGATAAACCCTGCATATAGGTGTGTGTTTTTTCCCCATCTGGCCAGGATTTAAAGGTTTATAATTTGATAAAGCTTGATTGCATTGATTTGGTTAGCACTTGCTCTCCACTGAGTTGTAGAGCTGTGATTCTCAGCTCCCCCTGCGTGCGCTGAGGGTTAGGAAGTGTTTGTCTCACCTCTGGCAACGGAAGACGAGGACTCCTTTGTGTTCCATTTCCTTCTGTGTGTTTTTCTGTGCTTCTTAAATCTCTCCCCACCCCACTACCCAAGGTAACACAGTCCTCGGTGTACTTTTATTGCCTGTGTGTCACTTTTTCTCTATAGAATAACTTGTGTCTGAAGGATTCCCCCCCACCCTCCTATCAGAGTGGAGTGACTTGTACGCACCCAGCTGCTGCAAACCCCTCTGAGTGACGTTCTGCTCTGGCTCTCGGGGTCATTCATCCTGAGTGTGCGCTCACTTGACAGCAGCTACACTCTTGAGTGTTGTCAGACTGTTCTCGAGACCCTTGCACTCTGCACAGAACTGAAACCCAGCCGCCTGACCGGTGCTTTTTAACTCCTCGGAAGCCAAATGAGTTCCTAGTTGGTCTAACCTCTCTTCTTTGCAGGGGGGGAAACCTCGTAAACACCGGAAGGATCGGCTACAAGATCTAATTGATATTGGCTTTGGCTATGATGAGACAGATCCGTTCATCGATAACTCAGAGGCTGTGAGTAATGTATATTTAATACAAAAGCAAATTCTTTGTGTGGGATGGTTGAAATTGGGGGAAAGTAACAAGTGCCCCAATGAATGTGCCCACTGGTGTTTTTAAACTGATTCTAAGGGTCCTGTCCGACATCTCTGTTAGACCAGATTTCAACAAGCTTCCTCTGTGGGGGCTCCCATGATGCCGCAGGTCTGTGTTGAGACAACTCTGCCCTTGGTGCGTGGGAGTGGTACGTGAGTGATTGAGTGTGGCTGTGTTCCAAACACTTTGTTTTGAGACAGAAACACTTAGTTAGTTTTTATAGTTCTCCATGCCACATGTATTAATCTTCTTCCGACACCCCCCTCTCCCCCTGCCCCTGCAACAATTTCAAGTTGCAAAGTCATTCTAGATTATAGTCTGTCCAAAAACAAACCAGAGAGCAGACTGGCCCTTGGGCCAGTTTGCCACTCTTGGTGCCTGACCATTATTTTGATTGAATGGTGTTCCATTCATTCAAATTTCGGGGTGCCTGAAATCATCTGTTTTTACATGTGTGCTTAGCGTTGATTTCGTCCTCCACTTCTTGCCCTGTTGAATAATTAAAATCATTTTGAGCAAAAGAGAAAGAAGCGAGTTCTAGCCAAATGCTCAAAAATCATTCCTTTAGACCAGCGGTTCTCAACCTGTGGGTTGTGACCCCGCTTGGGGTCGACCAACCCTTTTACGGGGGTCGCCCGATTCATAACAGCAAAATGACAGTGATGAAGTAGCAATGAAAATAATTTTATGGCTGGGAGTCATCACAAATGA